TTTATTTTTTATTTATGAACAGGGTTAAAATGGATTACTTATTTATTTTGTGAGAAAGTTGTATAAAAATTGGAGAGTGAGACACGAATTTTTTTATTTTTTAGATGCACATAGGGTTGCAAACGAGTTAAGTCGAGTCAAACTTTAGTATGTTTGAACTTGTTTATTAAGATTTTAACAAGTTCAAATTCAAACTTGAGCTCAATAAAAATTTAACGAATTAAGCTTGAGCGAGTTAACTTAGACTTGACACGAGCTTGTGCCTGTTCACGAGCCTTAACGAGTTAAAAAATTTATAAACTCATACTTACATATGAGACTAAAGTTATAATTAAAATTTTGATTGTACAATTATATATACAATATATATAAACATGCTAAAAAAAATCAATATTTTATCAAAATAATAATCTCTAGCACTATTATTATATAAATGTACTATCTATAGTTAACTATTATTTACATTTATATTTTTTTAAAGGGCAAATTACATATACACCCCTCGAGGTTTGGCTAAATTACAAATACCCCCCTGAGGTTTGAGAAATTACGAATTCCCCCTGAATGCTATATTTGCATAAGAAATTAGGGGGTAATTTGTTATGAAATATAAACCTCAGGGGGTAAATTGTTATGAAAATACAAACCTCAGGGGGCGGGATGTAATTTCCGAAACCTCAGGGGGTATCTGTAATTTAACCAAACCTCGAGGGGTGTATATGTAATTTGCCCTTTTTTAAATATATAAAAAACATATTTATCTTATTTTTTATAGGGGAATTGATCAGTAAATCCCATTTTATGAACTTGTAATCTATAAGGTCCTGGATGTTTTCTTAATGACTGGGTGATCCCTTAATTTGTTTGTTGACAGTTTTGCCACTGCTAGTATTATTGATTAACATTTGGTGTGGGTTTGTATGGGATAAGGTGAATGGGTGTTTGTATGTCACGCTGATCGAAAAAGCATACTAATATTTTTTTTAATTTAGTAAGTGTGTAACACTCAAAACATGAGACGTGGGTTATTTGAAATATTTTTTTTGTTTTTTTTTTTTTGTGACGTGGGTTGTGACGTGAACACAAGTAATTTGACCCCTTTTTTTTTGTTTTTTATTTTGTGACGTGGGTTGTGACGTGAACACAAATTATTTGACACATTTTTTTTTTTTTTTTTTTTTGACGTGGGTTGTGTCACGTTTCTACAACACTCTACACCGAAAATATCCCACATTCTACAACATCCACACCGAATCTAAAACCCCTCTAGATCCATGAATAACCTTCACAATTGATCTACGCTACGGTGGCCCGGCTAATTCATCCACAATACCCTTTACTTTGCTTGAGAATGACAGCATGAAAACTGGCCATTGTCCTCGTTCTATGGTTATGTCCTGTCAAAGCTCAAAATGGATGGCCATTGACACGTTATGAGTGTCTATCAGTAAAAATAAACAGAGAGCCCAAAGACTCTTTCATCAAATTGGCAAAACACTTGTTTTTAGTAACTCAACAGTCCCCTTTCACTCTCTCTTTCCCGATATAGCAACCAACCCACCCACCCCTCTCTTTCTTCTCTCTCTTCTCTTCTCCTTCCTCATTGAAAAAAGCCCTTGTTTTCATTACTCTGATCTACGGCGACGGCGGTTGCGGTTTTGGAGTTGCAGAGAGAGAGAGAGAGATGGGTCGTGGAAAGATTGAGATAAAGAGGATAGAGAACCCAACAAATAGGCAAGTCACTTACTCCAAGAGAAGGAACGGTATATTCAAGAAAAAACGTATCCCACAAAATCTGCAATCAATCTCAATATACATCTGTAAAGAAAAAATAAAAAAAGGGTGAAATCCGTCCACACACACATCTCATAAATTTAAAATGAGACTTGCTTGTTCACAAAACATAATAAACAGGACTTGTCAATCTAAGAGAATGAATGTGGGACTAGATAGAGTAATAGATTGGTAAATAGGATTTTCTGATAATTTTTCCTTTTTTATACATATTTTTATATTATTTAATATATAAATAATAAATATTAAACGAGTCAGGTAACGAGCCGAATTTTAGTATATTTGGGCTTATTTATTAAAAATTTAATGAGTTCGTGTTTGAATGCAAACAAAATTTAACTAACTGAGTTCAAACGAAATCTTACTGTGCCGAATTTGAGCCTGTTCACGAACGACTCTGTTCATTTACAAATTTATATATATTTGAAAAGTAAAATATTTAAGAAAAAATGTTTTAAAAACTCACTAAATATAAAAAAATTCAAAAAATCATTTTTTTGGGTAAAAAATTGAAGAATAAATTAAATTTTTAATTCCCATAATTTGGCTTAAATTTCACTCTAGTTAATTTTTAAATTTAATAATTTGATTCATCCATTTTAAAATATTGAAAAAATTGCATGTTTTTATTTTATATTTTATATTTTATATCTCCTCATTTTTCTCCTCATTTTTCTCTTTCCACGTAATTCTTTCCAAACCAAACACCCCAAAGGATGGATAGGGTATTGGGTTGTGACAAACTGTAGCCATCACAGGAAGAGAGAAGAGATAGAGAGATTTCCAACCAGGCACTAACATTTTCCACACAAAAGAACAGATTTTAATGGTGTGATGGTGATTTAAAAGTGTGGCATTGATTTCTTGATAGTTCATCATATGATGCAAATGCAATGGACAAAACAAGTTTCATGTGAATTGCCTCTTCATATATTCCTCATCAACAAGAAACAGAGGCTGTGAGATGGCTAATTAAAACGTGAAGCACTAAATAAAAGGGCAAATTATATCATTCCTATAGTTTGGAACTTATGTTACTATTATTTTTAACTTTTTATTTGTGATACATTTGATTTTCAATTTTGAATATTATTCAAAGTAAGAACAATTAAAAATGTTTCTTTTGTAAACGATCCATTTTAAAGACAAAGTCGTCATATAACTTATTTTGTGTTAGTTTAACTTGTATATTATTTGAAATGTAATGGCTTTTTTTTTTTTTAATGAATAATACTGAAACTTTTTTGATTATAAAGTTACGTTTTGTTTGGTTTTCATAATCTATTTTCAAAATTTTTTTCTAAGAAAAAAAAATTAAACACACATCAATTTTATATAATTTTATCTTTTGGAAAGGTAAAAATAAAATTTTAAAATATTTTTTTGACATTTATTTTCGTTAAATTAGTTTCTATTTTTTTTTAAAAAAGTCAAATATGGCGAACATAAAGACAACTTTGATATTATTATTAAACCAATCCATTAAATCAAAAAGTTCAAAACTAAAAACATTACATATGTTAAGCATATCGATTACATATTAAAAGCGTAATAATCATCCATTATATGATAATCATCAAAAAATATCTGTTAATAATAAATATAGCCATCTATTACATGATAATCATAAAAAAATCAACAAAAATAATCACCCATTACATAATAATCATCTAAACGTATACTAAAAATTAATTTGGTAAAAAAATAAAACGTAAAAGATTTATCATTTTTATATAATTTTATCTTTGGTGGGAAAAAATAATTTTTTGATATTTATTTTTGTCAAACTAGTTTATATTTTATCAAATTAACGACTTTGCTTTTGAAATGGGGCAACAGTGTCTTCAATTATTCTTATTTGGAATGAGATTCAAAATTCAAGATCAAATGTATTACAATTGAAAGGTTAAGAATTAAAATAATACAAATTTTAAATTATAGGAACGATTAGTGTAATTCGCTTTAAATAAAATAGAGTTGAGGATCAAATTTGGAATGATTTGGAGGAAGAAAAAGAAAATTGACAAGCTATAATGGTTTAAAACGTTGTCAGTGTTGAGTTTTTTGTTTACACAAAATAGGAAATAAGTTTTGTTTTGTTTTGTTTTATTTTTTTTTAATAAGAAATACTTGTTTTGTGTGTACAAATATTTTGAAATTAATGGCCATAGATGGTGGGGGAAAGAGGAGAAAATGAAAACTTATAATAAAAATACATTTTTTTTATTTTTAAAAAATTTGAAAATTTCGGAATCTATTTCACTATTTTTGAAAACTTCATTTAAAAAGAAGGGAAAAAAAAAAAACAGAAAGCAAAAAAAAAAAAAAAAAAAAAAAAAGAAGGAAAAAAGACAAAAAAACCAAAGAAGAAATGAAAGTGTAACCGAACCATGCCACTTACCTAACCATCTTGTTTTCACCACTCAAAAATAAACAAGGCTAAATTCATTGTGTTTGCACTATTATCAAAATTTTAATTTAATTATTTTATTTTAATTTATAATAACTAACCTATCACCCGTGCTATACACGAGATAATTATAGATGCGGGAGCCAGAAAATTAGAGGTACTAATTCATTGGGCCTAACCCAAACAAGGCTTGCCAATGGCCCAACTATTGGGCTTATTCGGCCCACTCCCGTCTATAAAAGGAAGGCACCTCATAGCATATGGGATAATCTCTTTCTGCTTTACACAGCACACACGCCTAAAAATTATACTAATTTTTTAGTTCCAATGATATGACATTCTATTAAAATATCTAAGTTAACTTTTTTTTTTCTCTCATTTATTTTTTAAATGTCAACCAATCATTTTATTAACATATCATTAGGTCTAAAAAAAATCTAAAAAATAAATTTATATGTCATTTTTTTAATATCAAAATATAAAAATTAAGTTGAATTATAATTTTTGTTAAGATTTCAACTCAATAATATGCTCTGTGAGTTAAAATCCAATTCCGCCACTGATGCTACTATTTGTCATATGTTTTTTTTGGGTAATTAATTTTGTCATGTGTTATATAGCTTATGTTAGGACGTCCTGTCACACTCAACTTCGCTGGTTGGTACCACGTAGGTGAGAAGCCATTGTATCCACCCACAACGAGAATCATGTTTTACGTAGTACATCCCACGTGCGTGTCCCACCACCACAATTTTGCTGTATAAGTACCCCACTTTTCATACTCAAAATTATCATCAAACAACAAAACCAACTCACTCTCTCTCTCTCTCTCTCTCTCTCTCTCAATATACTATCCATACATGGCATGCAATTTTCAATCTGTTTTTCTTCCTCAAGGAAAGCTTTCTAGATTTGGATCAATAGTGTCGATGAAAATAAACTTACCGTTGAAGGCACAGTCTGAGAATGATACCCAGACCGTGGCTCCGGCTATGCCTTCAGTGACAAGTAAAGAGACATTGAGTAGTGGAGGAGTGATTTGCCCACCTATGATCACGACGAAGTCATTGACATGGAGGTTGCTTGAGCCGGAAGAGAGAAAAGCCGGTAGTACTGGAAAATTTGGAAAGTATGGAGGGAGGTTCGTCCCCGAGACATTAATAACTTGCTTGGACAAGCTTGAAGCTGAGTTTAACTTGGCCATGCATGATGCTGAGTTTCAGGTTTGTCATCACTTCATTTCTATTGTTTCCATCTTTGTTAGTAGGTTCGAAAGAAAATATTTTTTGTTTTACTATTTTTTTTTTTTTATACTTCGTTATGAATTTAAAATTGCTGTAGTATTATATTTGTGGTATGGTGGTTTTCGATGTCGCAACGATAGAGTGGTGATTGTAGCAGCGGAGCCACAATGAATGGAAGGTCTTTCGTGATAAAAATATAAATAAGGGACCGTCCTTAAAATGAAAGGAATGGACAAAAATATAAATAAATTATTAGACCACCCGACATTATATCATTGTTGGATTTATTAAGATCCTGTTTTAATAATTTAAAATATTTATTTTGTAAGATCCTTCGTATATGTTATTTATATAAAAAAAATTAAGTCTATACTATTCATAACCTATTTAACTTACCGTGCTTGTTACTAAAAAATAAATGATTTATTTTTAAAAATATTTTTATCGTACTTTTGTTTTGGACAAATGCGATATATTTCATAAGTTACGATTACCAGATAGATTATAAAATGAATAATTCAATTTATCGAAATAAAATTCGTGCTGTATCTCATAACTCCAAATAACATTTTCAAGTTCACATCAAAGACTAAAAGGGTTCCAAATCCTATATATATATATATATATGTATTTAATTAAAATAAAAAATAAAAACAAATTTTATTCCATCCAAGTTTTCTAATCGAGACCAAAGTCACTTTTGAACTCATTGTCGGTGGTCTATTTAACAGTACAAGGTCTCATTATTGTACTTTACATACAAAATGTGCAGTCATTTTAGTGCAACTCAGTCATTTTTCCACCATTGTTTCACTATTCAACAATTGACACATGTTTTATTGTCTTTTTAGAAAATAGGATACATGTATCATATTGTAGTGTGAAAATAGGATATATGTATCATAAGATAGTCTGTCAAGATAGGGGAGAAAATAGGATTTATGTATTATATTGTAGTGAGATAACTCAATCCTATAGTGAGTTGGGATCAAGTACGATAAAATAAAACATTTATTAAAAATATTAGTAATAATAATACGATAATGTATTCAATCACGTCTTTTCGAACATGGGATTGTACATGTATGATTTTTTGTAATCTTCCTTAATTCTCAAAGGCCTATCATCTTGAGAATAGTCTTATAGATTGTTATTTAATTATTAAGGATTAGTTTGATTAGTAGGATAATTTATAAAAGAAACTAATTGAGTGTTGAAATAAATATGTCATTTAGGAGGAGCTCGCAATTGCCCTAAGGGACTATGTTGGACGAGAAACACCTCTATATTTTGCTCAAAGGCTCACAAATCACTACAAGAATAATAACGGTGAAGGACCAGAAATTTATCTGAAAAGAGAGGATCTCAACCACGGTGGAGCGCACAAGATCAACAACGCCATCGCTCAGGCAATGCTTGCCAAGCGAATGGGCCGGAAAAGCATTGTGGCAGCCACCGGAGCAGGGCAACACGGGGTTGCAACCGCAGCGGCTTGTGCCAAACTCTCTTTGGAGTGTACCATTTTCATGGGTAGCCTAGACATGAAGAGACAATCATCCAATGTACTCCTAATGAATCTTTTAGGTGCTCAGGTATAGTAGATTGATTTTATTTATTTGTTACTGTATTTAAAATTAAGTGAAGTTTGGCATATTACTAAAAAAATTATTTTTTGGATTCTTTTTATTTTTAGTGATATTTTTTAAAAATTATGTTAATTTTTTTTTCAAGTGTGTCTTTTGTAAACTAATCTAAAAAGTGTTTAAAAACAAAAACAAAAACAAAAAAAAATGCAACTGTTTCTGAATTTTTTTGTTCTTTCTTAATTTTTTTTTTCAAAATTAAAAAAAAAATTACTTTTCTCGTCCATTTTCTCAAGTAGAACTCAAAAGCGTAAAGAGCTTTTTTAATTTATTTTTAAATGATGATTTAGTCTATTCATTTTGTAATCTTTCTAACCGTAAATTATCTGTAAAAAGAATTAACATAATTTGATAATCATAGACGCATAAGTTTATCATAATTTTCCTTAAAAAAAGAAAAGGAAAAAAAAAGAACAAGTATGATTTTGAAAATTAATTTTCTATTTTTTTAATATAAACATAATGAAATCATATTCTTATAATTATTGATCAATTTAATTTTTTTATATAAAAAAATACAAAATAATTAGATCAGATTATCGAACTAGACTTGTGAGAAGCAGTCTATTTTAATTATTAAGTTTAATTTCACTCCTTTAGAGTAGACGGTCCAATTCAATCAATTAACTATAAAGAGTGGGGCTCACAATTTTGGAATCAGTATTGCGCGACTTACGTTCTCTCACAATCAGTGAGCTAGTCTATTCAAACACCAAAGAAAATGCACACTTTTTGTGAACTGAGTAGGTATACAAAATTAGAACACATAAAATATATTTTATAATAACCATATAATGTATTTTTTATACAATTTTTATATTCTAATTCTGTGTACATAATATTGTTATTCGAATTATGAGTAATTTCTTACTTCCGCATGTATGTAGGTTAAATTTGTTGATGGAAACTTCAAAGATGCAACCTCAGAAGCAATAAGGAACTGGGTTGGGAACCTTGAAACAAGCTACTACTTAGCAGGAACAGCAGTAGGGCCTCATCCATCTCCGACCATGGTTCGGGAATTCCAGTCGATCATCGGAAAAGAGACAAGAAAACAGGCTATGGAGAAGTGGGGCGGCAAGCCTGATGTCCTAGTTGCCTGCGTCGGAAGCGGTTCCAATGCACTCGGGTTGTTCCATGAATTTTTGAGAGATGAAGATGTGAGACTGATCGGAGTTGAGGCCGGTGGCTCTGGCGTAGACAGTGGGAGACACTCTGCAACTCTGGTTAGAGGTGAAGTTGGGGTATATCATGGAGCCATGAGCTACTTGCTGCAAGATGATGAAGGGCAAATTGTTGGGGCACATTCTATTGGTGTTGGGTATGCTTTTGCAACTTTGATTTCTGATAGCTATGCATGAGAAAATTATAGCACGAATCTACATATCATCGGAATATTTCATCTAAATTGTAGTTTCTCATTTATTTATTTTTTTTAAATAGAGTAGGCACTATATATGAATTATAAATCTAGTGATAAATAGTATTTTTCAAATTATTAGATGATACTGCAATATATAAAAATTTTAGAAATCAGACTTTCTCGTCTTTAAAAGTAAAAAATTACTTACGAAAACTTTAGGAAACTAATTTTCATCGTCACGGGAGTTATCACCAAAACTGAATTTTAGTGAATTTTTTCTTTTTTTTTAATAATGATGCTAATAAAATGTACTTTTAGGGATAAAAAAGATTCATTCAAAAAATGTTTGCCTTTTTAGACCCAAAAAAATTTGGATTCAAAAGAAACTAATTCACCACTAACAAAATTCGTAGCTCAAAATATAAAAATGATATAGCGTTTAAGATATTTTGCCCCTAAAAATCGATCTTATATTTAAAATTTTTGCCTTTAAAATTTTAATTAATTATACTGTGGCTTGAGATTACTGTGGGTATTTTTGGTCCTTGACTAATCATCGTTGGCCATAGCAACAAATGTCATCTCAAGATCCGCTTTTGCTAGATTTCCAAGAAGAGAGTCTTAGACTCTCAACAAACGATGGATCTCAAACTTACATTTACGTCGTGACTGAGAGATTTGAGAATGGATTTAGAAAAAAAAAAAGAAAAATAGTGTGAAACTAAATAAAATATAAATATATTTTATTTATATTTCACTTATCTTTTTCCTTTCCGTTTCAAAATCCATTCACAAATCCCATAACTAAATACAGCGTTACTGAGATGACTAGTCATATATAATTGATTAAGACCAAAATTCTTCCTTTGCACATTATAAGTATTACAAAAATTTCGATCATGATTCAAACAAACACTTCAATTTTTTTTTTTTTTTTTTTTTTTAATGCCCGGGGGTTAGTCCGGAGCTCAGCTTCCTTAAAGACATTGGAAGGGCAGAGTTCTACACTGTCACTGACCAAGAAGCCATTGATGGTAAGATTGCTAACTTTGAATACAAGAAATAAAATTTATAATCTTCAAACACCGGATGGTCTATTCTAAAATCCCTTCTTTACGTCTCTAATGTACCTTGATCGTTCTGAAATTTTGCATTATAAACAAAGATACAAAAAACCAAAAAAAATGGGACAAATGAGGATCCCTAGATTTTGGGGTATTTAAAAGAAAAAAACAGTATTTTTGACCCTGTAATATTAAGAAATTTTACATGGCTCCCTAAACTTCTAAAAAATTCATGATAGAAGATAATTTTTTTGCCCTCAAAAATTCATGATACCTTCTAAAACAGTATTTTTAAATTGTCTGCTTAACAAAATTTCTAAGCCTACCACTGTTCTGGCCTGATCTTTGTGTCTTAATTGGCCATATATAGAAGTTTGATCTCTCTTTTTTGGCTCACAGCATATCGACGACTATGCCGACTTGAAGGAATTTTTCCAGCCTTGGAGGCCTCTCATGCATTGGCATTTCTAGAGAAACTTTGCCCTACTTTACCCCATGGCACAAAAGTTGTAGTTAATTGTAGTGGGCGTGGAGATAAGGATGCTAGAACAGTATTCAACTATGAACTATACTAAGTGGAACCCCATAGTTTGCTTTGATCTAACTCAACAATAAGCCAAACAATTGGCGGCACAGTCTCTACCTTCAAAAGAATTATCGACTATGGTTTAGCCCAAGAATCACAGCCTCATCGTTTTGCCCATTCACACTCCAAAGTTCGAAAGACATCTCTTAAATAAAAGTGTCATACACCATTTAAAAAGTTTATATTAGACATCATTAAAATCTGATGTAGGATAGCATTTATGCAAATGTAACCATTAATCTGGATGAAGTGACAAATGTAATTATTATTGTTTTCTTCATCAATAAAGCTTAATTTTGCTGAGAAAAAAAAAATATTGGACGAAGTGGCAATGGTGCCCAAGATGTAACATATTGTATAGGTATATGCTCAATAAATACTTAAACCTAATTATGATCACATGGGTCTCTTACATTTGAAATTTTTGAATTTTTTTTTGAATATTCATCAACCCATAAGATTGTTTGTGATTATTCTCTGATTAATTATATGGTCTATTCAATGTTGGATCTTGATCTCTAAAAGAGATTGCCCAAACCTTCTCTATTTATTTTGACATATGATAAGGCATTAAGCCAATCTCAAGATTTGAGAATATAATATGTCTGATTTGTGGATAGTGGTAGAATAAATTATCTCGATGGGAATATTTTAGTCATTTTACAAGACAATTATTCAAAAATAAGTTGTGTCACCTCTCTTGAGAATTAGTTATCTCAAATCACAAAAATTGAATCAAATTCAAAATAATTTTATTATCATGCAATAAATAGACTTGTCACACTATACTCATCCCAAAATCAATGTGGCCATAGGAATTAGCTGTTGATAATTCTTCTAGACAAGGAAATTGAGGTCAAGTTTGGCATGTTCAGGAAAAGTCAAAAAGTCAAAAAATTACTCAAAAAGTTAAAAAGTTAACACTATTCATCAAAAGTCAACAATTACGGCTGCACAACCCCCAATTCTAATTTTCTCCTACAAATCAATTTTTACAATTTTTTATAACACATTTTTCCATAAAAAGTCAAAAAGTTAACCCAAACATCTATATTTTCTTCATTAATTTTTTAATCTAAAAAGATAAAAAGTATACTTATTTAGAACACCCCAAACAACCTGACTCTAATAAAAATATTTTAACATCCTCCAATCCATCAAATTTCGGAAAAATTCTCACCACTAAAGTTTGCTATTACATTATCTTATCTTTTTGTGTGTGCATTGGTCAACATCACGATGGATCAACACTAGATGCTGGTGGATTTAAAACTTCCTCAAGTATTTTTTGAATCAATTACATTTAGCAACATTTCAATTTTAATATAATTTTATTGAGTAAATTGTTAAAAAAAAAAATCTAAGATAAGGAGGGTATAATACATTAGGTCCAGTGAATATTTTTTTTTGTTAGTGAGAGTCCATTCTTTGTAAAATAGTTTGGTGAAAAGTCCTTTTGTTGTTCACAAGAACATTTTGTTTTCAATTTTATCCTTTAATTTATCTGTTGACTTTTTTTTTTATCTATTTGACTTTCGTTGACTAGGCCTCGTTTGGGAAGTGGCCCGTTTAATCAAAAAGTCACTAAAAAAACTAAAAAGCCAACAACTCATACCAAAAAATCAAAGATTCTATTTTCTCTCTACTTTTTGTACATCTTTTCGTAAAAAGCCAAAAAGTCATCCCAAACATACTAGTTTTTGTAACTTATATTTTAGCCAAATAGCCAAAAAGTTACTAAATTAGTATGTTCCCAAACGAGACCTATATATTCAAATTTATATCTATCTAAAATTTTTTCTTTATCTGTTCAAATTTTTTGTCTATTTGTTCAAATATTTTTTTATCTATTGAATTCTTATAACTTTTTATTTATTTATTTATTCAAATTCAAGCCATTTTCAAACTTTTTCTCTAACTGTTCCTCTCTCTATTTCTCTTTTCTCTGTCTATCTGTTGAATTTTTACACATCACTTTATCTCTCTCTATTTATTGAATTTTTACACTCTCTTCTCTATCTTTCTTGAATTTAATATGTTCAAATTTTATTATTTGTTCAATTTTTTGAACAAATCTGTCCAATTTTTTTTTAATCTGTTGCAATCTTTTTCTTTTTCATCAACAACATTCATTATCATCATCAACAACAACAACAATAACAACTAAGAAAAATGATAATTGAACAACTGATTTATGAATTTGACGCTGTAGACACCCTATTTTTGACAGACCTTAAGACTCAGACGTCACCAATTGAGCGCTCGGTGATGATGCATATTGTGCTTGTTCCGAGGTTTCAGAGTCTCGGCTACGAGCCTTACCTCCGGACTTCGGGACTTTTTTGTGCTTTGTCTCGGTTTGCGAACCAGGTCCTGTCTTCACTTCCCGAAGGGAGGGAGAGGTCTCGTAGACCATCTCTCAGTGGCCGTAGGCAACGTTTCGTGGTCGTAGGCCATTTTTTCCGTGTAGAGACCAGTTTTCGGTTTTCGGAGCCATTGGTCGTATGCCTCGATTCGGGACCGCTTAACTACTTCCGTTTGCTCTGATTTTTGGTACACACCTTGTTTTCTCTCTTTTGAGGGACACTGTGGCCCAAGAGACCACCTTCGTGGTCATACGCCACTTCCGGTGCCTAACAGCCTGTTTTCAGGGCCCCGAACTGCGCGTTTTGGCCCCTGAACCTTCGTTTTGCATCCGTTTTGGTCCATTTTTGGTAGAGACCCTATTTTTATTGCTAGAGAGGTGGTAGTATGGTGGGAGGCCACCTTTTTCCCATGAAAACCAGCTTTCTCTTTTTCTCTCTCCTCCAACCGGTTTTTCTGACAGAAAGCTGGTTTTTCTCACTTTTGAGCCACAATTTCTGGTTTTTCATACCACCATTGTGTTGTGCTTATCTGGGAGGCCACCAATATGGGTAAGCCGACCAGTAATTCTTCTTGAACCTTTTGAACCTTGCTAAAAAGCTGATTTTTCTCTCTATTGGGTCACATTTTCTGGTTTTCTACCATACAGCTGTGTTGCACTCATCTGGGAGGCCACATTTCTGGGGTGGCCGGCCAGCATTTCTCCTTGAACCTTTTGACCCCTGGTCGGCCGACCAGGGGGAGTGGCCGGCCGACCACCTTAACTGGTCGGCCTGCTTCTTGCTTTTTGGTCTCTTTAAGTGTAAGCCAGCTGTACCAGCTGGAAGCCTCAGAAGTGATCCTCTATACACGTGTATGGAGGATCTTTGAGCTTGGTTTTGAAGCTTCTTAGAGAAGCTTTGGCCTCTCTTCTCTATAAAGGGAGGCCTCCTCTTCCATTTGCAAGGGTTAGAAAAAAACAGCTGAGGAATATACATACAACTCTCCATATCTCTCTCATCAAAGCTCAACACACCCTTGTTCTTGGTCATTTACACTACACCTCATAGCCTACCACCTCCACCATCCATTCCAGCACTTTGGGACTGATTTTCAAGGGTTGAAGGTTCACCAACTTAGTCCAGAAGTTGCTGCATTGTTGTGCTACAAGGGTAACTCTCCATTTCCCCTTTTCTTGCATTATTTTTCTCTATAGCTTAGCCCTATTTGCAAGCATTTTTGGGTTTTGTTATAAACTGAAAAGTGTCTTATTTTGATCTCCTCTTGAAATTTGATTAAGGATACTTTTCTGTTTGAGGTCTCCTACATCCTTGTATGCTTCATCTCTCTTTTAGGACTTATTTTGCATGATATCTTAGCCTTACTTGCAAGCATTTTCGAGATTTTACATGAACTAAAAAAAGTCTTATTTTGAGCCCTTCTTGAAGTTTGATTAAGGTTATTTTTCTGTTTGGGGTCATCTTCCTCTTGGCATGCTTCATTTCCTCATGATTAGGGCTATGCATTAGAGTATTTGCATTGGCCTTTGTTTGGCCTTTTGGCCACTGAAATCTAGTGAATTTTTAGTGGCTTAGATGTATTTTTGAGAGCCAAAATCAGAGGGGGGTGACCCCCTCTCTCCTTGTCTTGTTTGTTAGCCCTTTTGGCCTTCCAAAGGGCCCCCTTACTTGCATGTTGTGAAGTCACTTTTTAGGCCCAATTTGGTGAGTTTGAAGGTCTGCCTTAGCTCTGTCCGGAGCCTCTTTGACCATATTTTATGTCTATGATGCATGTGTAGAACAATCCCATTCAAGGCCTTTTAAAGGGGCCTTTCATTGCATGCTTCCTAGACTAATTTCAGGGCCTTTTTGGTGAGTTTTAGGGCTGTCATAACTTATTTCAAGAGGTGGTTTTGCCCTTTTATCTGTCTATCATGTATGTGTAGAACAACCCCTCGCATGGCTTTCCAAAGGGGCTCATCATTCTTGCTTGTGTTGACTGAGCTTCAATGGTTATTTGGGCATATTTTAGCATGAAATACTTCTGTTTTTGGCTGGTTTAGTAAGATCTCGTATGCTTCATATAGGTGTAGTACAACTCATGGTTCACTAGCTTTCTTTGCATGCTTTATAGGCCATTGATTCTAGCATATTTTGGCTATGCCTTAAGCTGATAATGTGCTTATTTTGGACTGCCCTAGCTCTATTTTTGAGTTTTGTGGTCGAATGATGTTAGTTTTGCATGTTTGTAGTTCAAGGTCCATGCTTAGCTTTGAGTTTTGAGATCCATTCCATGCATATACTGAGGTGTGTTCATGTTTTGAGCCTATTATTCATCACATTTCAGAGCTTGTTTGAATGCCATGTTGCCATTTTTTCATCTCTTTAAATGCGTTTGAGAGTCGGACTTGTATACCCCATTTGCCGACCATTGAATGAGCTTCATTTCGTTGCATTCCGAGCCATCATTTTAGGTTATTTTCCCACTGTTTCAGACCTGCCTAGGGTCTGTTTGGGATTGGTTTTGCCACTGGTGCATTGCTTTGGGTACCTCTAGTGTAACGCACTTCACTAGTTTCGGTACCCGGGCCCCCTAGCTTGCATTGTGTGACATGTTTGCATGTTTTGGGACCATCTTTTATCACATTTCAGAGCTATATCATGTATCATTTTATGCCATCTTTCATCCCTTGCCATGCTTTGGTAGAGTGGCATTCCATGCCTTAGGTTCGGTCCTTGGTATTCGTGCATGTGTGCACACATTTCGGTTGTCTCATTTTCATCTAATGGCCATTGATGTGGGTGTGGCTGAGGTCCACTCATGTTGGTGTAAGTCCATCGTGCATTGTGTATGCCATTTCGGTCCATAGCATTGTGTATACTAGGTTGCATGTTAGAGCATTGTATATGCCATGTTACATCAAGCATTGTGCATGCCATTTCATAGCATTGCGTATGCTAGTTTGTATGTTAGTCGCATTGTGTATGCCCTCTCATTTGCATTGTGTTTGGGATAGGAGTTAGCCCAAGCACGGGAAACGAGGGATGTTTCGTACT